CACTGTGTGCAGATTGGGCCTTTTTTCTTCATTACATACCTCATCTAAACTAGAAGAACCAGAGATGCATACATCTTCAATCTTAACAATTTTCCCTGCACTCTGACTGCGTGATCCTTCCCAAAGACTATTAAATAACTCAAAACTATCAGGGGGGAAGGGAGGGGAAGGCAATGTCCATTTCCTTCCTAATTCCACACTCTGTTTCCTTCATATTGCAGCTATGTCAATGTACTTGTGGTCTATGTATTTTACACTTAGAATCTTTGTGTTACCTATGATATAATAGATCTATAGGGATGAAGATTTTTTTGATATTTGAAGTAACCTGTGAGTCTGTGAGCCGTAATCCCAGAACAGCTATTATTGTTGCTACGTTGACATGAAAACTATAATTTCCTGACCTAAGGTGTAGAAGCATAACAAAAACACTGGAAAAGTTGAATGGTTCTGTTGTCATCGAATATACTAGTCATTGGTTAATTAAGATCTCTTTCAACCTGCTTCAGAATGATTTGTTCAAAACAAAACAAGCTGGCAGGAAGCTGTTTGCAAGATGTTGGTAAATGCATGATATATTATATAGGTCTATTTCTTCTAAAAAAGTCAAAATGTGAGTTGGGATGTGGTATAGATACTGACCTACATGAAGTACACAGCAGTAACATAGACTTGGGTAATATAGAATTTGTCATGGTTTTAATTCTCAGAAGGAATAAACCACATCTGTTTGGTTATTTCAGTATTCTGGACTTCTATTTCTGTTAAAATAAGTAGTAGAGAAGCAAGATCTAGTTCGATAGATGAATGATCAGTATGAATCTGGTTAATGTGGTTTCATGGCATAGTTTTAGAGTTGAAATTGCAGTCAGCAGAGAAATGGGAGTGTAAATGGCTCATGGCAGTGCGTGGTACACCTGGCTGCGTGCATCTGTTCATCGTTTTAGTTTAAAGCTGGTGTAGCTCCTTATTGCTGCTGCTATAATGAAATGCTAGAGAAATGCCTTGTTAAAGTGTAGCTTAACATTATTAAAAAACAAAACTGTAATTACAAGGCTTCACAAATGAAAAAGAAAACAAGAAGCTTATAACCATTTTGTAACACAGTTCGTCCTTGACCACCATGACCTGTCATTCACCTAGGCTTTGATGAGTAGAATAATCTCTCTGTTTGTGACCTTTTACAGACAGAATTAGAAGAAATGAGTAAAAAAGGAGGGGGAAAAAGAAATAAAGAGGAAAACAAAGAAGGGGAGTGTCAAGACAAGCTTTATCTATATTCTGTCTCCATGTTTATCTGTGTTTGCAATGACAAAATTACACATGAGTAAACAAGTACAAAGGAAAAAGAGTCGTCACAAATGGGGAAACATATTTCATGTCACCGCTCAATCGTGGTCCTTGTTGTTAACTGGAAAAATTCAGTCAGTTTGATCCACTAGAATCTTATTCGTATTGGAAAAAGTTAATAGAAACAAGCAGTACTTTTTTTCATTCCAACAGTTTAAATTTGTGTGAGAGGGACAAAGGGAAGGAGAATTGGGTGCGCACATGCAGTAAGTCCATGTGTGGGAGTAGAGAAAATGGCTTGCTACTTGTATTGCCACCACCTGCCTGACGTGCACACAGAACTGAGGTATATGAGGGACCACATCAGTCAGAGTAAGAAATGCGTCAGGGAAACATGTCTATCACATATCCTCTCAATGGCATGCGATTGCAGTCAGATGGAGAAGGTACAGGCAATTAGTTCAGAGTCCATATTCAGGCTGAGAATCTGGAGGAAGATTTGCCTCTGGTCAGGCTTTGGAAGAGCACCGAGCTGCTGTGGTGTGTGGCTGTCAGCTCCATGTGTGCTTCAGCACGGCACAGGAAGACTGACTTCTGGCACAAGGAGTTAGCATCTGTTTCCAGTAGTTCCAGGCACAACCTCCTGGTTTCCAGTAGGATCCTAATTACACAATGTTTGCGCTAAGCTCCTCCACATGGTCAGAGGTAACAGCTACTATTCAAATGACTGAGGTTTGTCAGCTCCATTGGCTGAATTGCAGAGGTCATCCTTGGAAACCCTATTTCACCAATATTTGTTCTGTTTCCTCTTTTTTTTTCCGGTTGTCTCTAATTTTTATCAGGTCTGTTTAATGTTTAACAGTGCAAATTAAGCAGAAGATGATGTAGCAGTATAAGTAACAGTGTGGAAAAGAGCATGGTCAGCTGAATGCAGCAGGGCTTCTGATTTTGTAAGTACTGCACATGTATTTTTCTTAGAGCCTTGCAGATGATGCTTTCTGCGGTTGATAGCATTTTCATGTTAGCTTAGTTTCATTTGTCTGCTTGTGACTTGGTTGTGTGCGAATGTTGCAAGGAAATATTAATTAAGCAAACATGCAAGGGACCAGTGGGACCTCTTGTTCTGGAGGAATATGCTTAGCCTGAAATTAGAATAAAATAACCTTTGAAGTAATGGGGACTTATTAAGCAGTTGTTAAAGCAGAATGCTGATGAAATCACCTTTTAGGTTGGAAACAACCTTCACAGTGACTCAAAATTAGCATAATCCCACTAGTGACTGAACAACCAGGTCCAATTTATAAACTCTTCTAGTGACTTAATGTATAAAACAGCCACTGAATTGCTAAGGCCAGGCTCTCTAATTAGGACTGGGTTGAGTGTAGAGGGTGGGTGGAAGACCACAGTTTAAATTTAAGTATTGCTTTTATTCCTATAGGCAAACTAATCTACGGTTTGGCAAAGAATTATTTTCTGAATTTCCAGTTTGCAAAAATACAGCCCAGTTTTAATAAAGCCTTTCCAGTTTTTTCAGCTTTGAAATGGTAGCAAAAAAATATTTGTGGCTGAAATTTTCTAATTTCAAAATATTGACATTAATGTGATTAACATCTCTAAAGGGAAAAATATGTAGGGAAAACTTGATGACAATATTCAGTGTTTTCCAGCTTCTGGTAGAAGTACTTCTTTAATATTTCTGTAGAGAACTGTGATACTAAGAGAAGTTTTTTTATCTGATCTGTTACAGTAGAAGTTAAAAACAGAGCCATGCCTAATGTAAGCTTGCTGCAGAAAAAACATACTCTTTGCTTCAGAAGTTCTTTGAAATTTAGGCTAAGCTCTGTTTGGACACAGGAAGTGGTCATGGACAGACAAAAATTATCCTCTTTTTCACTTAAGTGTGCAATATCTCAACTAGAGAAAAACAGTCTATGAAATGTTAAACAGCAAGTACTTTTGAAACACCCTCTGTACTACATGATTGCTTCACTTGTCTGCAGTACATAAGGGGGGGGAGGGTTGGCTGGGAGGAAGAGGGACAGTTCTGCTTAAAAGAGATGCAAATAGTTGAATCATATTCCCATCTAGGGCTATACTCCATCTTTTGGTTTAAGGAAACTAAAATGTAGTGTTACCACTTCTTACTGCAGGTCACTGCAGTGGTCACTCTCTGCTCTCAGACATACTCAGCGTACTCAGATCCTAGCTGATATGAGAACACACAGCTAGTGTATATACTTGCTATAAAAACAAGAAAGACCACCACAGCAATAAAAAAAAAAATAAAGCAACTGATTAATCACCAAGAATCCTGGAACTTGGGCTGCCCTCAGAAGCTCTATCTAAATCTTGTTTAGATAGTAGATAGAGTCATCTTTTACATCTGGCAATGAACACAGGACCAAGAGAACTTCACCTTAGCAGGACACGGGAAAATGCATTCCTGGAAGAGAAGGATACAAACAGGCTGTGTTGGCTGGAAACCAGAAGAGGAGTCATAACAGTAGAAAAGTTCTAGAAAAGTTTTCACATAGAAGCTGCAAGGGCAAAAAGCTTCTTTTCATAGATAGCTTGTTACATTTCTGAAGACAGTTTATATGAGATTCCTCCCCAGAATAGCAGGGAACTGAATTCAGTAAACTACACTTGTTCCAGCTCCTATGGAGTGCAGGAGGCTTATGTGTAGTATATCCTATCAGCATTAGGAGAACAAGCATAATGAAGAAACTTGTCGTCTCCAAGGGGATTAATCTGAGTGTCCTTTGATTTCCAAATGGGATCTGTGCTCCTCTTTTTCTCTTGGACCCAGGTCCTTCCTCTGTCTCTAGAGGAAGCCACACATCCCACACAGGTTAACCCATGTTAAGGGGCAAACCACCATTTAGCAAGTTACAAACACTTGTTGCAGCTCCCCAAAAGGAGGGTCCACTCATCCAAAACATCCAAACATGCATCTCATTACCTGGTGCAAACCTGCTGCTTCCCGCATGTCTTTATGCCCACTTCTGAGTGCCCTGCTGCCATGCCACAGGATGCCCCAGGCTTTTGCCTTGAATTTTGCCTTGAAGTTTATGTAGATCCATCACTTATCAGCTGTGGCCAATGACTGGCCATGTGAGTAACTCATCATGAAGGAAACAGGGGCGTGATTTTAACAAGCACCGAATAGTCCGTGATAGCCATCTGTCCGAGTGCTGCTGCCCTGATGAAAGGGAGGGAATTTATTCCACTTCCAGTGAGAAGTGAGCTGCCTCACATTTACCAAACTGCATTTGGGCAGGTGCTGTGGAGTATTTGATGTCTTTGAAACCCACACCCTGTCTTATCTCATGGTAACTTGTTTGTTTGGATGTATCCTATAGGAGGCAATGATCCAGGGAAGATAATGTCATTGTTAATAGAGATTATTATGGACTTTGGCTCTATACTTGCCAAGGAAGAAGAGAATTGCCTTTTCAGGGCAGTTACAATGGAATGTTGTGGTTTTATTATGCCTGACATTTTAGTTTATAATTTGGTTGAATTTATTAATGACATTTATCATTGTGTCCATGGGCACTTTAAATATCCTATGTACGTTAGATCTTTACATTTGCACTATATAGTATTTATGCTAACAAACTATTCATTATTTCTTACTACCAAGATCATCATTACCATATGCTCATCTAATGACTGTTTATTTTGTGACAGAATAATTTGAAAAGAAGATGAAGTATCTCCTGTGCCTGTGTTTACTCCTTGCTGTTCTTTGTGCCATAACCCATTGCCGCCATGAAGACATTTGCCATGAAGTCAGTAATACTAATCTGCGTGATGGAGCAGAAAATTTATTAACACATAACTGTAGCAAGCAAGGTTCTAACTATGCAGATTTTGTATTTAGATTTTACAAGCAGGCTATATCAAAAGAAGCTGATAAAAATGTTTTCTTTTCTCCTGTGAGCATCTCCACTGCCTTTGCCATGCTGGCTATTGGTGCTAAGTCAACCACCCTGTCTCAGATTTTTGAAGGACTGGGCTTTGACGATCTGACTGAGATTCACATGCATGATATACACGAAAGTTTTCATAAAGTTTTAGCAGTACTGAACTGTACTGATGTTAACATCACATTAAATATAGGGAATGCCCTTTTTACAGCTATTGGGTATAAACCACAGGAGACATTTTTAGAAAATACCAGACAATTTTATGATGCAGAATTTTTTTCTAGCAATTTCAATAAACCAGAAGAAGCTAAGAAGCAAATCAATAAATATGTAGAGGACAAAACCAAGGGGAAAATTCCTGAATTAATTGGACATCTTGATGCAAGTACTGTATTGGTTCTTGTTAACTACGTTTATTTTAAAGGTAAGATATTTAACATAATTTTCCAATAGGTGATTTTGATGCAAACCAAAAATTATAGGGAACTCTTGATGATTTATTAGCAGAGTGACTATTTAGGAAAGAGCTAAACCATGCAGGATCTTCAAAGTAAAGATTAGGTCTGGCCAAAAGCAGGGCATCTGATTGTTGAGAAACACTGATTGTTTGATTTTCGCCCAGTTTTCCTGAAAGCTGTGGACAGAGAAGTTCCACTCTAGTGGACTGCCTCATAGACAGGGACCCACTGCATGCAGTCTCTCTGGTCTGAGGGCATAATGACTGAAGACGTTTCCAAGATCTCTGTGCTGACTGTATGTGCCAGTCAAACTTAGGGGACTGACATCCTTGCACTTCCAGAGTCCCCAATATTATGGTAGATCTACTAGGTACGCTGCATGAAAACTTGGGACATAGCATTTTGAGGGCCTGTGCTTCTGGAGCCCTGCTTGAATGTTAGGATCCTTTATTCTGCTGACAAATTCCGCACCAGGCTGAGTGCAGTCATCTTGAGTCGGGTATGGCCTAACAGGAAAGGCATAACAAGATCTTGTGGCTGAATGTATAAGGGGTTGAATTGAAATTACATAAAAGGCACAGGTAATGGTAACATATGGCTACAATAGAAGCAGGACTCTCTCAACTGGTCCTCATCAACCTTTGGTTGTTTTTCAGCAAGACAGGACTTACACTAACTACGCTGGACTTACTGCACAGCTAAAATGCTTTATTGTGTGTTATGCAGGACATTGAAGTGATTTAATGATCCTCTTCTCCCATAAACAGCCCTCCAACATCCTAACATTTAAGTTGGTCTGATTTGTATCAGCCATTTTTTATGATCTTCACAAGGTTGAGTGCAACATCTTCTCTCTTCCTCCATTAGCTGCCTGGGAAAAGCCTTTTGATCCTTTGCATACATATGAGGATGATTTTTTTGTGAACACAAATGTATCTGTTAGAGTCAACATGATGCAGCGTGACAGTAACTATGACAGTTACTACGACCAGGATCTCTCTTGCGAGGTGGTAGAGCTGCCTTACCAGGGCACTGCACGAGCATTGCTCATTCTGCCTGATGATGGAAAGATGAAGCAAGTGGAAGATGCTCTCTCCAAGGAAATGGTTTGTAAATGGCATAACAGACTTGTGACCAGGTAACTCTAGAGAGATGGATTACTGTATTTGAGGACACATCATTATTTTTAAGAGAAAGCATTAATTTCAGATCACCTCCTCCTGGATATAATGTCCTGATTTCATAAAGCGGAGTTTTAAGCGATTCCCAAGATGAGTCAGAGCAGACCATAGTCGATAAGCAGCTGCAGGCTTTCTGACCTGACAGAAGGGGACACAGCATTGTAACAACTGCCCCAAGACTTGCTTGGCTACCTTTTGGCTACCATACCTCTTCTTTCATGGTGCTAACAATTCATTTGCTTCAATGTGTCTTAGATTTTATCCTCCTTTTCCCTTCTTTTAACCTTTCCACAGTTGGTCTGCTTACTCTCTGTAGCCCTCTAGCCAAAAAACACATAGCTGCGTTTGTGGCACTGGGAAGAAAGAGTGGTAATGAAGAAATTAGTTTATTTTTCTAAAATCAAAGAGACAATGTAGGTACAGATGCCAAAATTGCTCAGGGTATATAAAAGCTACCATCAAACAAATTAGCAATCAAAAGAATGCTTTCAAGTGTCACTGAAGTGCATACTATCCAGCCTGCTGGCTGAAACAAGGCTGCAATGCTTCACTTCTGTTTCATTTTCTTTGTTCAACAGGAGATTAGACCTGCGGTTACCAAAGATTTCTATTAGTGGATCTTATGATGTTAAAAACCTGTTCCAGGAAATGGGCATTACTGAAGTATTCTCTAGTAATGCTGATCTGTCTGGAATTAGTGGCAGCCATAATCTTTGGGTTTCACAAGTAAGTGAACAGACGGAGATGTTAACGGGGAGGTGGTTGGTGGCTCTAATCAATTATATCTGGGGTTTTTAAAGACTTACTTTCCCTCCTTGTCCTACTGAAGTTATAAGTAAAAACTCACAATGACATGTAGGGGCTTGCTTAGTAGTTGTGCTTTTCTACAGAGAGGGTCTGCTGTCCCACCTTTGTATTATTTTAATATTATTATTAAAAGGCTGGATATTAAGTACATAGAAATGTTGGACAAGATCTTAAATGATTTCTTGGCACTGGAATATGATTGCTTAGATAAGATTGTGTCAAGTAAATTATAAAATAGGAGTATATTATGATATTTGTGTGGATTAGTACCTAATTTTTTAATATCCTCAAAGTTTCCAAGAAACATCCAGTTTGCAGTAGCAGAATTTCTCCATGTCAGTTTAAACTACGTTTTAATGTGGCAGAGATGCCAAATACTGCCCCTGTATTAGCATTTAAATAGCAGTCTTCCATTAACCTTGGAATAACAGAGAAAGTGTTGCTGGAGGAAGTCCAAACTATCTAAGAAAACAAACCAGCGAGTACATGGGCTGTTACTGTCCCCCTCTACTCAGCACTGGTGAAGCTGCATCGACAGTGCGTTCATTTTTATTTTTGGCTCTCCCCATTCAGTCCTGACGTGGAGAACACTCCTGTTGCAGGCCATTTGAGATTTACCATACAATAAAGTTTTGTCCACTGATCTTCATCACTCCTTTCGTCTCCTAAATATTCCATAAAAAGAGAGTTTATCTTCACCTCCTGCTTGCTGTCCCATGTATAAACCACAGCATTTGCTCCTTTCCCCTGCAGGCAATTCACAAGGCCCTGCTGGAAGTTGATGAGGCTGGAACTGAGGCCGCAGGAGCCACCGCCATAATTGTTACCAGAGTTCTGCATCCTTCTGTTACCATCAAATTCAACAGGCCCTTCCTTATCTTGATTTCTGACAAAGAAACCAGCACCACACTTTTCATGGGGAAAATTGTCAATCCTACTAAGAAGTAATTGCTGAGTTATTGGGCATACTGGTATTCGGCATGAGTTATAATGGCTACAGTGTTTGCACATATGGGCTAGTTAGTGCTAGTAACTACCCTCTGATTGAGGGATATTCAGAAGTAAATGAGGAATTTCCTTATCAAATTAATAAGCAAAAAAATTGTAAAAAACCCCCAACTACTGACAGTTTTTCAATGTAATATTTTCCCTAGTTGAGTAATTCAAGTTATTAATACATTTTCCAAATTTTCCTTGGAAGACAATTTTTTGTAAAGTCTGCTGTTATTTTTACAAGTGAATTGTCTCTGCTAAGTGGTTTTGTCCAGACTGCTTTCAGGTCTGGATTACTCACCAAAAGCTTTATCCCAACAGGTAACAAGTCCCTCACAATTCCACTACATCTTCTCCAGGACTTGCAGACAATCGGTAGTCACCTGAGCTGGTCCCTACAGAGTCTTTTCTTCCTTATGTAGCTCTTTGCTGCCTAGGCCATTGTTGTTTACCCTCAACCAACCTGTTCTTTCTCACGTGTTCCAATTCTTTACCTAGGACATCTTAAAGAAACATTGACAAAAAAGATATAATCCCTGAGACAATAGACTTATTCTGCTGTAACACTCACTGTAAGTGTCTTTTTGCAGTTCACAGGGTCAGCAAAAAACTTTGAGAGACAGCGACATTAGGCATGAACTGTCAAAGAGGTGTCCTGTGACAATGTCATCCATGAATTATTGCTATGGCTGATGAATAAAATGAACATTGTCATTTAAATCCATCACTTAAGAACTGACTCCAGTCTCTTCCTACCATTTTATAATCTTTTAAAATCAACAAAAACTTTCAGTCATCCTTATTAACATAGCAGGGTGTCTGTAAAATACATTTTAAATGCTGTTAAATAAGTCCGACTTTTCTCGTATGGAGATGGTGATTCTTTGCATTCTCTCCTTATGTGCCTGCTTGGGTAAAACCTGTTTTCAAGAAATACGTAAACACTCTCTTGCTGTTGTGGGTCTGCGGATCACCCACTCTTACTGCAGTGGAGCACTGGGGCCCAGTGCTCAGCCTTGCTGAACTCTATATGAACCCTTTATGGCACAGCTGCTGCCTCAAGGAGAGGCTGACTCCTGCTTTGACAGCTGCTCTCTCACTACACTGCTTTGACTCGTGCCGTTGCATATTGACCCTTGATAAATTCTTTGCAAGTGGAGTTTAGTCCCTGTCCCTGGGAAGATGACACTGCTGAATGTACATTGCTCATTCCTACAGTGGTCCTGGCAATGTGCTGTAAGCACTGCAAAGGAGATGCAAGCCCCAAATCCACAAACAAGCCTCCCACCCCGGACATCTCTCTGGCCCTCTGACCTGTTCTCCCAAACTTGGTCCACCCTGCGCAGAGGTGCTTTACTGAGACTCATCAGTGCTTGTAGCATGGGTTTGGTGTATGGGAGGCTATGCTTCTGACTCAGGGGGACTTGGAGACTGCTGCCTTGTACGAGTCCCTTTGCTCCAAGCAGCAAGAACTCAATAGAAGCCCTGAGCTATTGCTTCTGCTAGGGCAAGATACCATCACTCAGTGGACTGGGAGATACCACACCTCTGCGCAAAGCAGCGGCTTTTACAGAGTTGAGATCAATGATAACTTGCTGTGGTGTGAGGCAGCCTGCTCTGTGGTGGCTGAACAAACTCAACGAGAGCTGGGAGCAGCTCCAGTGAGATCCCACCCTGATAAATCTGTGCACTGGTGCTGATTAGAAGGTAGGATGGTGAGATTTTTATCAGTGGGGTGGCAGAAAAACAGGTTCTTGGCCTATTGCTAAAGGGAAAAAGGTTAGGAAAAATCTCATGGTTGCTAGGACAGAGTAGAAGCTTTGGGAAATAACACATGAAGCAACTTCCTGCCCCATCTACCTCCCAGGCCTTTGCTTTTGAGAATGGAGGCAAGGAACTTCAGGAGGAGAGCTGTGCTGGGAGTTTTCACACTGGAGTTTGAGCAGTGACTTCTCCTGGCAAAAGTATCAAACAGGGGAACTTTGAATGCCGGATGGATTTGAGAGTTATCTACCAAGATGTGGAGCATCACCACAGTTGTCCTCCAGCGGAGGAACTTCACACTCCAGACCAGCAGGTTGGCCTGAGCTGTGGCAGGGACCTGGAGCGGGAAGAGGGATCATCTGAAATCTCTCTGGAAGGGGAGGATGTGGGGAGGACAGGAAACAAATTAGTCTTGTGCCATACATACGTGGAAGGCACAAAAATGCCTGTAGTTCACAGTATGGAGATCCATAGAGCCTGGGGACTGAACATACCTGGCTGATGCTGCTCTCAGCACAGTCCTAATGATATTCTCTAGGAACTGGACAATTCTGCAAATTTTTTGTGGACGGAGGGGGCAAACTGTCCTAATTCCAAGAAAATCTAATTTCATTGGTCTGCCTTGCATCATTTGTTCTCGTTGCTTTTGTCTGTCTTAATATGTGGTAGGGAACGTTCTTCTTCATGCTATTTAGTTGGATTAATGGTAGAGAAGGAAAGGAAGGATTCTGATAGACATAAGCTGAAATTTTCATTTAGGGATTGTGTATTCATTATATCTGTGGTAAACACATGTAATTTTTAATTTCTTTCATTCATCTGTAGGTGACTTTATTAACACCCTTTAATCTTCCACTACAACAAAACCAGACCTGATTAGGACAGCTTAATCCCACACGTGCATTCCCTCAGTCTATGGGACACCTGGATCCAAACTAAGCCCTGAAGAGAACTAGAGCTTCTTTATACCCTAGTAAGTGTTGTCCACCTTACTTCCTGCAGTGACAGTCAGCAGAAGGGGATAACACAGCTTACAGTGGAGTGTGTGACCCCCTATCATAAACATCCAAGAAAAATAACCTGCAGTGGGTCCGTTAGCCCTGACCTGACATGCTTACAGGAAGCTTTGAGGAAAACGACTTACCTAAAGATAGCATATCTCAGCTGAGAACCCTGTGGGGGAAGATGGACCCACTGGACTGGGTCCCTGAAAGGCAGCCTAGCTGAGCCCCAGCAGGTCTGAGTGCCAGACTTCTCCTGGCAGCCTCTGAGCCATGTGGGAGATGGTAAGTTTGTTCTATCTGACCTTGTTTATGGTCCACTGGGACTCTGTTTGTTGATGAGATAGCTTCTGTCAGTAAAGCTCTGTTTGCTTTGCCCCATGGCAGAGTCCATGTAGTATGCTGTCGCAAACCATGAAGCAGTGGGATTGCAGGGCTAATGCAGTATGTGTCCAATGCATTTTACCTTTCATCAGTAAGTAAAGGAGCTCACTCAATGCCAAAAGGCACAAAGCAATCAAATAATCTCAGAAACACTAGCTGCTCAAATAAGCCCTGCTATTCAGATGCTACAAGTACTTTGGACTTTCCTTTCTCATTCCCAGCTATGCGGTTTGAACCTCAACCCTGATGTCTGGAGAACTTGCCCTTGAATGTGTACACCAGCCCTCTCCCCACAGTTATGTCATCCATTCATCCCTTGATCACTGCTACTATTTCAAGGAAATGGGAATTCACCGAAATGTAAGCCAGCCGTATTCTAATTGTTTCAGTAGATTCAGTACAACAAAGGCAGCAGGCTTTTTCCTGTACTCACACTCATTTCAAGCAGAGAATCACTAAGCTCTTAAAAACCAGATGATTATGATAGTTCCTGGGAAGGGTGGTTTTTGACTGTGTATTCTGAGAACCAAGAGTACCTTTATGGCAGCTACAAGGCGGTCTCAGTGCCTCACGACCCAGCCCATCTTTGAAGAGTCAGACAATATATTCTATAAGCAGAGGGGACAAATCTCACCATCACTAGCCCTTGTTCTTGTGGGGGACTTGAACTTACCAGGTGTCTGCTGGAAATACAATACAGCAGAGAGGAGACGGTCTAGGAGGTTCCTGGAGTGTGTAGAAGACAATTTCCTGACACAGCTGGTGAGTGAGCCAACTAGGGAAGGCGCCCTGCTGGACCTGTTGTTTGCAAACAGAGGAGGACTTGTGAGTGATGTGATGGTTGGAAACCATCTTGGGCATAGTGATCACGAAATGATAGAGTTTTCAATTCTTGGAGAAGTAAGGAAGGGGGTCAGCAGAACTGCCACCTTGGCCTTCTGGAGGGCAGACTTTGGCCTGTTTAGGAGACTGGTTGATAGAGTCCCTTGGGAGGCAGTCCTGAAGGGCAAAAGACTCCAGGAAGTCTGGACATTCTTTAAGAAGGAAATCTTAAAGGTGCAGGAGCAGGCTGTCCCCACATGCTGAAGGACGAGCCAGCAGGGAAGACCGGCCTGGCTGAACAGAGAGCTTTGGCTGGAAGTCAGGAAAAAAGGGAGAGTTTATGACATTTGGAAGAAGGGGCAGGCAACTCAAGAGGACTACAAGGATGTTGTGAGGTTATGCAGGGAGAAAATTAGAAGGGCCAAAGCCCAGCTAGAACTTAATCTGGCTACTGCCATAAAAGACAATAAAAAAAGTTTCTATAAATACATGAGCAAGAAAAGGAGGGCAAAGGAGAATCTCCATCCTGTATTGGATGTGGGGGGAAACATAGTGACAAAGGAAGAGCAGAAGGCTGAGGTACTTAATGCCTTCTTTGCCTCAGTCTTCAATAGTAAGACCAGTTGTTCTCTGGGTACCCAGCCCCCTGAGCTGGAAGGCAGGGACGGGGAGCAGAATGAAGCCCCCATAATCCAAGGGGAAATGGTTAGCAACCTGCTACACCACTTAGACACACACAAGTCTATGGGCCAGATGGGATCCACCCAAGGGTACTGAGGCAGCTGGCCAAAGTGCTCACCAAGGCACTTTCCATCATTTACCAGCTAACCGGGGAGGTCCCAGTTGACTGGAGGTTAGCAAATGTGACGCCCATCTACAAGAAGGGCTGGAAGGAGGATCTGGGGAACTACAGGTCTGTCAGTCTGACCTCGGTGCCAGGGAAGGCTATGGAGCAGATCATCTTGAGTGCCATCACGTGGCACC